TTTTTTGTTTTCCTGAACTGAATTGAGATTTCTCAGTTAGGGGAACAAATCCACTCCCACCAGATCTCACTGAGAATGGAGATGTGAGTTTAGCACAGGAAGGACAGCCTCGGGGAAGGAATGTCTCATCTATCTGTCACAGGCCCCCAAGAGCAAGAAGCAGAGTGTCCCCCCCCCCCCCCCCGCCAACATGGAAGTACCACATCTTTCTCCAGCAGAGGCCGTTGCTGCCAGATTAGATTGTGGAGGAAATAAGAATGCAATAAAGAACAAGGTGTTACCCAAAGTCATTGTCTTGCTTGAGCATCTAGAGCCCATGTTAAAATGGAGCAGTGAGGAATGGTCACACAAACACATCTTCCTGCTTGTTCCAGCCTGGGAGCAGGGCACTTCCGTAGAGGTTGTCCAGGAATTGTGACAAAAAATGTGCACAAGACATCCAGATGGAGGACAGGGGGCAACATCCTGTACGAAGTCCACTTTCCTTAGGGGGAAAATCAGCTGGCCCTGTCCACAACAACTGTCTGGTGGATATCTTATCAATGCCATTACAACCTCCTGCCCCCCCAAATACTCATTTTTATTAACAAACACCAAGGAAAAGAAGAAATATTTAACTGAGACGTATATTTTCCCATCTGAGTAATTTTTTCAATCTCGCAAATTGCAAACCCTTAGCCTTCTTGTGTGGCTCTCAGCCTGTCTCCAGCCTCGTTCATTCTTATGCCAAACAGAACTGGCAGAAAGAAAGCAAAGAACCACGCCTTACCCCAGCTAGTTAGGTGGTGCTCTGAGCCAGAAACCGGGGCAGGATTATTTTGCTGCTGCTGTCCTAAGAACCGAGTAACCTGGCTATTCAGAACACATCGGGTAAAGCAGACCGTACTGCTAAGAGAAAAAGGAAGCCTCTGAAAATAGTGCTTAATTAGAGGGAGAGGATTTCTCGTGAATGTTCAGGAAATCACTTTTTCCTTAACATTCTGACACTGTAACCCAGACGTTTTGGACAGTTATCATAAATGAGATTTGAGAACGTTTTTCTTCTCTCAGCAAGCCTCCTCACTGATTGTTTCATGTCTTCCTGAACACCTTTCGGCTTTGATTTTTGTTTGTTCCAAGAAGTGCTGAGAAAGCTATTTGTCACTCTCCTTGCAGACTATTAGTGTGCTTTCCTACAGCTGTTGCAACTAATTTATCATAAGCAGGCCATCTCTGATCAGAATACTTAATTGTTTAGGCCTGATGACTGAACCAGTACTGAGGAACCATAGGTACCTCTTTTTCCATTTCTTTCTACTCCTTTGCTATTAGCTAATGTTCACTATCCCCACCTCTGCTTCTTCCTCATTCTTTCCCACCCCTTTGCAAACATGTCTCACGCCACTGGAGACTTCCCTGCCCTTTCAGACATCCTTGTCTTCTTTCCATGACTGACTTGAGAGGTCACCTTTGAGATGGAAGCCAACCCCAGACACCAGGAGAGACAGACTTTAATCACTCTTATTCTCTGGAGAACCTCAGGGCTCTCTTGTGTTCAGAATCCCTAGAGTGCAAGCCCAAGGCAGAATTCTTCCAGGGTCTCTAAAATTTGAAATTGTGATGAAAGGTTCAGGAGCAAAGAAGGGCTTGATCACCCCCATGGACTGTTTTAATAGGAAGGCTAAACACAGAGCACCATCTTGCATGTTTCCGAGCTTGAGACCCATATGGGCACTTGTGTTGTTTTCACCGAGTGGCAACTGCAATATACTGATTTGCAGCAGACCTTGCCCAGGTCCTTCTGACCAGTGTAAATGCACCAGTAGGGCAGTGAGCCAGCCCAAGTGCCGGTGGGACCCTGGACCATGCTCTGTAGGCACCCTCCCACAGCAACCCAGCCCCCAGCAGCACCAGGCTGGGCTGCAGAAGGGGAGCCCCCGGTGGGGTCTCGAGGCCTGTGTGTTTGTTGCAGGCTGGGATCAGAAGGTCTCTTCCCCAGCTAGATCTTAAGCTGTAGTTTTAGGGGTGAGATGGAAGGTCCTCTCATCAGAGACACATTCAGTAAACACATATTGAGCGCCTGCTGTGTACAAGACGCCTGCTCAGTGTGGGAAACAGGGAACTACCAGATCCAGTTCCTACCACGGGGAAACCTGTCTCTTTAGCTTTGGGCAAGAGTAAGATCAATTTCAAGTAAGATGACCCTCAGGGCAAAAAATGTAGCAAGAAATCATTGCTTTTATCTGTGGCATGAATGCTGTGCGTGTGTGCGTGTTGTAGTGGTGGAAGAAAGAAGTGGGAAAGCAGGCAGAGATCTGATAAATAGGGCTGCGTCTGCATCAACTGGTTAATTCTTCCGAGAGGCTCAGGAAGCCAGTTGTAATTAGATATGTTTTTTCTATTACTTAAATTGAAACAACTAATTAAATCCTTAATTAATGTTTTTTAACTACCTTGGGATAAGAAGTGCCAGAGAAGTTATTCTAAGTGCTAAATATTACTCTGAAGTCCCAGGGAGCAGTTTGCTCATGTGTTGACTCTGGAATCTGTGAGGAGGCTCATGCTGTGAATAAAAGTCATTTGAATCGCGGTTGGCAAAATGTTTAAAGTATCTTCTTCCCCTTGACTTCCCCCAAGGTTATCCCCTTGGCCTCTGTTACAACTTTCATCCTTGATTCACCATCACCTTTGATCAAGCCCTCAGCTGCTTAAGGTTTTGGGGGAGAAAGCTCGTTTAGAAGAGGAGTTTGCTTGGTTCTGGGCCCCTCTGTAAAGTATCTAGCTTATCAAGTGCAGGCTATAAGCAATAATGAAATTTCCCCTGTGGGGTGCATTTTCATCTTTAAAACCTTAGAAGTTATAAAAGGAGTGATACACAACTGCATTGGGAGGCAGCCAGGCCAGCAGTAAGCTCTGCGGAACATTCACATAATTTCCGTGGTCTCTGCCCCTTGAAGAAATTATTAGGGGCTGGTGTTTCACTCCCCTACGCTCCTTCTGTCTCCCTGTCTTCCTCATGGTAAATCACCAAGGAAGGCACTTACTGACAGAATACATTAATTTGGTAGCCAGAAGGATCATTCCAGCAAGGCGCATGGTTTAGAGACAAATGAGAGAGACTTTCTCTAGAAATTTCCAGGAAGTCCTTTTGGAAGTTTGCTTCGAAGGCCTAGGTTTTCTGAAAGAGTAGGGAGAATTTTATTAGGTCTTTATTTGGCAGTCGTTGTCTCTTAGATTCAAGCAGAGGGGGTATTTCACATCTGGGAGATTTTTTCATGTCTTTTTTTATTATGCAGATGTTCACATCTGCAGACCCTTCCCTTATGGGATTGCCTTCTCTCCCCTCAGTGAGTCCCTTGGCTCACCCTCCACATTAATCTACAATGGACTAAGCCAACTAATGACAGCTGTAAACTCCTCAGGGACCACTGTTTTCTACTTTGCCCCTTTATATTCATGTTTGGAAACATTTATATTAATATTTATGTGAATCAATTCAGAGAATATGTTTGGTAAAATGAATTTATTCATGTTAGTGGATAGAAGACCACATTATAGAATCACTTAGAAACCTACGAACATATAAAACAAAAATTATTGGAAAGCTAAAATCCAAAGAAAGTCTTGCAGATTTCATTTTAGAACGCATTTCATTTTCTGTTGCTTTATATGTTCTCAAATTGGAAAACACAACTATGTTTAAGTCTACAAGTTCAGAAATGTAGTTAGAATTCAGGATCTAGTTCAGGATATAATCAACTACATTTGAAAAAGAGAGAGGTAGTATAGATTATCTAGCATAATGATCCAAAACCCTAACTACATGGTAGTAAGTGTGGGGAGCTTTTAAAACCTCCAGTGCCTGGGCTTCACAGCCAGAGTCCCTGGATCAGCTGATCTGAGAATGGCGTCTGGGCATCTGGGAGGCCATGTAAAAGGTCCCAAGGAATCCGATGTGTAGCTGAGTTCAAGAATTCCATATACATAGTCCATTGACTTTTCTCGTACTTAACAGGGTTGTTTTTCCCACCCAGCATACTCCACCTGAAATAGCAGAATTGTTCCCTGGCCCAAAAGGTAAAGCAGTTCTCCCCAGTCACTGTGAAGTCATCTCTGTAGCTCCCAGGGAAGATGGCAGCTGGCACCAGCTGGCACCTCCCCGGAGGGTGTGCGGGGGCCTGTTCTCAGCCCTGTAGTGGGCACAAGCCCTGAGCAATCACCCGTCTGCCCTGTAAGAACTTGAGGCTTGGTGACGGAAGACCTGGTTAGAGTCCCTGCTCTGTTATTTCGATTCTGAGCCATCTTGGTTAATACATATAACCTTTCTGGGCCTCAGCTGCCTCATCTGTAGAATGAGGAAGGTCACACCTTCCCAGACTTGTGAGAATATGAGATACTCATGAATAGGTTTGTCACCTGTGCAGAGCTACAGAACTAGTGAGTTTGTGGGGGACACTGTATACCCCTGGGGATCACCCTGGATCCTGAGGCCATCTCCTCAGTAGCACTGGCCAAACCCAGCATCAGCCTGGCTCCCGATGTGGAGTTTCAGGGCGGAAAGCCCTTGGATCCCAGGTGTGCTGTGCCAGAACCAGGGGTAGAAAGGGGGGGTCAACAAATGCTGGGGGCCCATCGTATCAGAAACCATGTCTGACTAGGGAACACACCCTGAAGTGAGAACGCGGGCCCATACTGCAAAGCGAAGCTCTCTTCTCCTTTTGTCAAATGTTTTTCCCAGCACAACAGTCTGTGTGCCTGTAGGACCACTGGGAGCAGGAGGCAGGGTAGTCTGCTGGTACTTGGATTCCAACTCTATTGGGCTGTGAGCAGGTTACCTCACAGGCCACGCCTCCTGTTTCCTGTGCAGGGCGGATAATAGTAGCCCCTACCTCATGGAGGTGTCTGTTGTACGAATGAAGAGAGTGAATGTACGTGAAGCCCTGACTGACAGTGATGCCAGGTCGGGGTCGGCTGCTGTGCCACACAGGGCTAACCCATCTGCCTGTCTCCTCCCGCCCCAGTGCCTAGCCCCTCTTGTAATGGCTTTGACGGCACCCTTTCAAGGCCCTGCCGGCTGCCGCTGGGAAAGGAGGTCTGCTTCATCGCCACAGTTCGTCTGGCAACCCCACAGTTCTTAAAGGCAAGTACCTGGGAGAGCTCGTGTTGTGTGAAACTAGTACAACTGAGTCATGTTTAGTTACAGCTCACTAACCGTCTTTATGGGAAAGAATAAGATGGCAGTGAAGTTGCCACTGACTTTGAAAAGTTGAAATGTCTGCTTTCTGCACCTGTGAACTGCGCCGCATGCCCCTTGCCCTAACTCTGGTTTCCCAGGAGCTCTTTTGCTGGAAGGCAGCATCAGCTGCCCTTCGTCCTGCAGAGATGCTCATTGGCAACTCTGTAGATCCTCCTCCCTTTCATGCCAACGTTACTACCACTCAGGGCAGGCCGAGGTGAGGGCCAAGTGTCAAAACCCAGGGCTTGTCTGTATTCTCTCACCCGTGATTGCTTTAACATCCGTGGCATGAATGCGGAGTTAAATTAGTCATCCAAATTCAGATGAAAAGCCATTTTCCACATGTTTACCACCCTTCCAGATAATGGGAAGGGAGTGGTGTGGCATTTTGGCTCTTAGGTATTTTTCCCCAGCTTGTGAAATAAATTTAGTATCAGCTAATACTGAAATTAGCTACAGATGATGAGTTTCAGCCCAACACAACTTGGAGACTTGCTCTAAATGATTTTAACTTCTGTTACCCACCATGCGTTCTTGAACCAACCTAGGGTGAGCATCTGGCACCCCAAGCAATATTTTTTTCCCTTCTAATACAGGAAATGTGCATAGTTGACGAACCTTTAGAGGAATTCACTTCAAGGCATAGCTTGGAATGGAAATTTTTATTTCTGGATCACAGGTTTGTGAAAAGAAAAACATATTTGGGTTGGGTCCTTTTCAAGCGTTTGTTTGCATGAGCCAGGCTCTCCTTGGGAGAGAAAAGTCGGGCCTTGTCCCTTCAAGGAGAAGGGCTTTCTGGCAGCAGGGAAAAATCATTCCCGGCCAAGAGCCAGGCGGCCTCCCTTCAACTGCAAGTGCCCCATCTATGGGTATGATCCGTGTTTGGGCCAGAGCATCTCAGGAGAGCCAGGTGCCACATCCCAGGGACATCTTTGGGATACCCTCACCCCCATCCCACTCGGGACCCTCTCCAGTTCCCCGGAAGGCAGGGGCAGATGGGAGAGAACCTCCTCGTCTTAATTTTCTCAACACCCTTTTGTCCCTTTAACCTCACCTTCTTTCTTTCTTCTGTAACATTTTTCACAGTTGAAGGATGAGAACTCTCCCCTCCCCACCCTTTAAGTTTTTGTTAAGCTTTGGGACTGGACTGCCCCAATTGATAGCTGTTTTTAATTATTCGGTAATGATAAAATGTATTATTATTTAATGTAGGTTACGCTAAGCAGACTGAATATATAAATGCCAAAAGGGTTGAGCGCTTTGGGAAACACAGCCTGTCTGGTTTTAACCATTGCAAAATTACTATCCTGCCATCGTTCTTGAGAAATGAGGTCTCTGTGTTGATCATGAAACATGCAGACTGTATCCTCTGTGTTGAGGTGCCACCGCGGTGAGTCTGGTAGGGGGACCTGCTTTCTGATGAATTATCCCCGTTGCTTGGCAGAGCCCCTCCGATCATAGGATACCTGCCTTTTGAAGTTTTGGGGACCTCAGGCTATGACTACTACCACATTGACGATCTGGAGCTCCTGGCCAGGTGCCATCAGCACTGTGAGTATTGCACACCCTGCCCCAGCGCCTGATGGCCCCCAGCACCCTCCACAGAGCCCCGGCAGCAGGATTCTTGGGCCCTGGAAGTCCACTCATTACTTGGTTTCTTTTTGAGGAGGAACACTTTGTTTTCTCGAAAATGATGTCCCAGTGTGGCAGAGGTCCCTGTGGTTTGAGTTTTTACCTGGAATTGACTTTGTTCCTCCTCCTCCCACCCCCCAGCACCTTCCCAGTATCCTTTAGATAGGTAAGCTGTTGAATCTTACCTAAGAAAACAAGGTAAGTGATGATGGCCATTTTTTCTAAGTTATGCAGTACGTTATTTTAAGTTTATTTATTTATTTTGAGAGAGACAGAGAGAGAGTGCAAGCAGGGGAGGGGCAGAGAGAGAGAGGTGGGGGACAGAGGATCGAAGCAGGCTCTACGCTCACAGCAAAGAGACCGACACGGGGTTTGAACCCACGAACCGTGAGATTATGACCTGAGCCTAAGTCGGACGCTTAACAGACTGAGCCACCCAGGTGCCCTATGCAATACATTTCAAAGACAAACTATTGAACTCACATCACTGCTCATTGTAAGCAGACATATATTGGTCACAAGCTACAGGCCAGATACTGAGCTAGACCAAGCACATAAGGATGATCAGAATCTCCTTGCTGCTCTGCAGGAGCAAGGTCTAATGGATGCTTATAGGATGCTGTCACTGCATTGGATGGAACGTGTTGAGGATACTGGGGGTGCTCAGAGAAGGATTCCTCACCCAGCTAGGGGAGGGGATTGGGAAGGCTCTCTGCCACAGAAGAGGGCCACAAGCTGGGAGGTAGGGGAGGTACCCCATGTTGTGGGGTGGGCAGGGGATAGAGGGAGAATTACAAGTATATCTGGGTTCTCACTTAGCAAGAGGAGTCAAGAATTAACCATTTAAAGCCATATTTTCAGTGCCAAGTTCTAGCTTTAAACAGGAAAATGTTTAATCATAACGGATCCTGACACATAAATTGACCACCAACACTGTATTTTGATAGATGTCCTGTCTGTAGTATCCATTGTAACTTTCCCTTCTCTGCTGTTCTTGTCAAAAGAATAGGCTTAAGTTCCATCAGGATCCTCAGAACCTAAGGCTGATCTTTTTTTTTTAATATCTATTTATTTATTGGGAGAGCACAAGCCGGAGGAGGGGCAGAGAGAGGGGAACAGCAGATCCAAAATGGGCTCTGAGCTGACAGGCTGGCAGCAGCGAGCCTGATGCAGGGCTTGAACTCATGAACCTTGAGACGTGACCTGAGCCGAAAACAACTGAACCACCCAGGTGCCCCTAAGGCTAATCTTTAAAACGTTAACCCTTTGCTCCTCAAAGTGTGGTCCTCAAACAGCAGCAAGGACATCACACGGAGTTGGCTAGCCTTGTAGACTCTCAGGCATCCCCACCAGGCCTGCGGAATCAGAACGTCCATTTTTACAAGATCCCCAAGTGATTCATGGGCACGTGAAAGTTTGAGAAGCAGGGTTACCTCAAGCCTTGGCTGCTTCTGACTCTTCTAATGGAGCAAGGCCACCCTGGTTGTAGGATTACCTTCATCATCTGAAGGAATTGCCCCAGGGCTCAGGCAAGATGTTCTCACTCTGTCCAGCCCATGCCCTTACTCAGCTGGGCTTCCTACGTCTTTGGAGATCACATTTTCCAAGGCAGTGGCTCCCTTTATAGCTTTGGTTTCCTGGTTGTGATATCTATTAACTGTTTGCCAAAAGACGTGCTAAATTCCAGCCACTGAGGCAATAAAGTCCAGATTGTTCTTCTTCCCTAGACCCACAGTCCAGCCTTCTGCCCTGTGCAGTCTAATATTCCAACAGCATCCATTCTGTTCTTGACACCCCCAGGGAAGCCCACCAACAGACTTGACCGCAGGGGAATCCACGCAGCCCTGCAGCACTGGGGCCTGAGGTGGAAGTCATCTGTAGCTGACTCTCTAATTTAGGACCGTGTAGACTAAGCGTGAACTGCTGACTGACAGCCACAGAATCCAGCCAGAGGTTGCTGTCAGGTCTGTTTTGGGCCCAGATCCCCCCGTGTCTGGATCGTCTCTTCTGTACTCAGCTCCTGCAGCTCCAAAGACAGTTCCACCTCCAGCAGGAAAACCTGTGCCTCTTTTTAATTAAACTCCAGTTTGGGAATCTGCCCTTATCTGAGGCTCTCTCAAGCCTTTGAGCATCTGGGGAAGCCTGCAGATTGTTCTTCCATTATTTAAGAATTCATTATCGCTTACCATTATCTTGAGAGTCACTTAAAATACAGCGCACCTGGGGAAATAAACCGTGTTTGGCACTTTCTGGAAGCTTGTATTTTTAACAGTAACTTCTGGGGAAGAGATCATTTTTGTATTAACGTTTGCTACCCGCAGACCCCATTTTCTCCTAACAGTGATGCAGTTTGGTAAAGGGAAGTCCTGTTGCTACCGGTTCCTCACCAAAGGCCAGCAGTGGATTTGGCTGCAGACGCATTACTACATCACTTACCACCAGTGGAACTCCAAGCCCGAGTTCATCGTGTGCACGCACTCGGTCGTCAGGTGAGGGCTGGGGCTGGGAGGGCGGGCGAGCCCCTCACAGCTCACACAGAGCTCCTGCCGCCTCAGAAGTCCCAGCTTCTGGAGAGCCAGCAAGCCCCGGGCTTGAATTCCTCAGTTGGGGCCAGGCTGTGCTCTGCAGTTCACAGAAGAGTCTCCAGGTACACATCCCACTCTTTCCCTCGACGCTGAAGGTTCAGTTAAGCCCCTCCGCAAGCCTCACACGCTCGTTCAGGCTGCCAGGATGTTACTTACTGACTTACTGCTTCACTGACCTACTTGCATATTTTCCCCTCATCTCCATCCATCCCCCAGCCTTCCCTTGTCACCGTTTTGGGAAGAAAATTAAAATTTTGCCTCTAAATAACTCACAGACATAGTCCCCTTTATTGTTAATGCATTTAAAAAAAAAAAAAAAACCCTGCTGGCAACTGAGGCAGTGTTGGGAATAGAGCCCGGCTGCCGGTGGGAGGGGGTTCCTGGTGGTTCCTGGTGGCCTCAGGGAACCCCCGGCCCAGTGTGGGTGAGGAGAGCTTTCAAGGGAGGCAGCATATCCAGTATTTCCTAGACGCAGGCTGTGTAGGGTCATAATTCCCAAAGGTGAAGGAGAAATGTCATTTGTGGGGTTTTTTTCCCTGACTACAGAAATTGTAAGGACATAAGTCAGTTTTAAACTGGTCTGGAGAAGAGCATTTGAGCAGAGCAAAGAAAGAAAGGTTATATGTATTGTATGTCTGTATGCACGTATACGCGATAGGTAGATAATGGATATATATAGAGAGATACATATGTACGCATACATATAGATACATACATACTGCATTTATATATATACATAAGAGATAAATGATTGATAAAATGGATAGATACCATGCATACGTACATGCACACACGTGCATATATACAGTTAACAAGTAAATCGCCCTTCTTTTAGCACGTGAGGAAAGAGGAGAAATGTTGGTCTTTCTTGCCAGTGACCCTGACCATCACACTGCATGCCACTCTTAGGAACTTGATCTTGGCTTCCCAGCCCACCCTTGGGCACTTCAGCAGCCAGTGATTTCCCGTTACAGGCCAGTCCCACCCACCACCACCCAGCCTGGGCCTTCATCAGAGGGCCATTTTGCCCCCACCAGCAGCATCTTGGTCTTCAGACTCTGCCCTTGACCCTGCTCTTCCTCTCCATCCTCCACCTCCCAAATCTTGGAAAGTAACCCTCACAGAGAGTAGGGAGTGAACTAGTGAGTAAATAAGGTAACAACATTCCAGAAGCCCAAGAGCCACTGTCACTGCCCAAGTCCCCTTGCCCAGCCTGCACCTCCACACATGAAGCAGAAGCCATGGCTGGGTCACTTTGGCCTTCACCATATTGAATTGATTAGCCCACGCTATTTTATTTTATATTTTATTTTATTTTATTTTATTTTATTTTATTTTATTTTATTATTTTATTTTATTTTATTATTTTATTTTATTTTATTTTATTTTATTTTATTTTATTTTATTTTATTTTATTTTATAGTTTATTTATTTATTTTGAGAGAGAACATGAACCGGGGGGGAGGGGCAGAGAGAGAAGGGGACAGAGGGTTCAAAACAGACTCTGTAGTGATAGAAGCAAACTCGATGCAAGGTTTGAACTCAGGAACCATGAGATCATGACCTGAGCCAAAGTCTGACACTCAGCCAACTGAGCCACATAGGCGCCTCTTACCCACACTATTTTAAAAGTGGGTCCACAGATTAATTAATCAGTGCTCTGCATCTAGATCTAGATTTGTTTGAGAGAAAACTTTCAAAGGTTGTAATTATTTAAAAAGTCATGTGTCCCTTCTCTGTATGCACAGTCCAGACTGAGTAGGTTTTTAGGAAAGGCTTCTGATTATTCAAAGGCCAAGTCTTATCCTGTAGATGAAAATATGTTTCTAAAGACAATGATATTTGGAAGTTTCAGGGCATGGGGAGAAGGTAAGTAAAAGAGAAGGGAGTAAAAACATCCTGGGAAGGAAAATATTTTGAATGTCACATTAGTCGCTCTGGTGGAATTCAGGCACAGAATGAAACTCCTTCCTCAAACAAGTGACAAGACCAGCCTCTTTCGTGGCGATGATTGTGGGGTGGGTGTCATGTAGGGTGCCTCGATGTACCACACAAGCCCTCTCTGCTGTTGCCATCTGAAATGTCCTACCTCCTGCTGTGGTCTCTTGATTTCCTGATCAGTTACGCGGATGTCCGGGTAGAAAGGAGGCAGGAGCTGGCTTTGGAAGACCCACCACCCGAGGCCATCCACCCTTCAGCACTCAAGGTATGCTGATCCCCACCAGATATCTAAAGGCCAAGTTTGCCTAAGTAAGCATTCCCATGAGATGTTATAATAGAAAGAGTAATAGTTTTATTTGCTATGTTCCCAGTACTATCCAACACGTTTCTCAGGTATTCTCTTGTTTACCATCATGACGTTCCCGTGAAGCAGGCACTGTTACTGCCCTCGTCCTACAGATGAGGCCCAGAAACACACAACACACAAAATTTAGCTAACTCACAGAGCCGTATAAAACATACCTTCTGGACTCAAAGCATGATTTGGTGACTTCCCATCCTTACAGGAGTGGCTACGATAAGTCCACTTTGTATCTCTCCCACAGATAAAAAGCTGGGGGCTTATTCCATCATCCCATTGAGGTATGGAGTAATTTAAGTGCCCCTGTCCTTCCCTCAGCCTAAGTGCCGGGTCCTCCACAAGTGCCCCTCACAGATACTGTCCGTGTCGTCGGCGGCAAGGTGCACTTTCTACTTCTGCATCTGAAGGTCTTGGTTAACAGCCATGTTGGAGCCAGCTTCATGTCAGGGAGCTCTGCTTGTGTATTTCCCTTCACAAAGTCTTATCTCCTTCCCTGCTCCACACTCAGCTTTTAGGTTCCCCCCCCCCCCCAACCAGGCTTTCCCCCTGTGTCAAACAACTAGGGAAATGTGCAAGCAGACCAGAGCCCTGCTCCTCAAACGTCAACCTTCAAACAGACACAAATGTTGGGGAAAAAAGAGAGAAGGCAAGGAAGGGAGGGAGCATTGTATTTCATCAAAGCCAAGAAGCTAACCATTGTAAGATCCACCATTATTTATCTCCCGCTAAGAAAGAGAAAATGCTGCCACCAGTCAATCTGTGAAACAAGGATTTCTTTTCATCAGTTGAAAGACACATCCCAATTTTAGAAATGTCAAAATGTAGGGGGGAAAGTGTCTCTTAAGAATTGGTGAAATGTGGTTCAAGTTTCAGGCTGCCCAGTGACCTAGAATCCAGAGACTTCGGCCAGAAGCTGCTGTGGCAGCAATGGTACAATGAAAGCATCTCTGGTCCACGAGAGCTGAGTTGGGAGGAAGGAGGAATAACCTTTAAAGACCAGAGAGCAGTCAGTGTCTTCAGCGAGCCTCCCCTGCTGGCACGCTGCATGGTGATATATTGTATGGTGATTCATCACCAGCACACTGATACAACACACCTGCCATTGTTTGTGGAAATGTTTATTATCCCGCTCTGTCATATAATGCATCATGTATCATGTCCAAGAACAGAATTAAGCTGCTCATAGGCAGGTGTTAGACACCCCATATATCACAGCTCACAAATGGGCATAATATGTATCATCCGCTCGGAAATTCATTATTGAAGTTTCAGATCCTTTGGGACTCCTAGAACCCAGTGGAACTTCTCATAAACATGCACGTATGTATAAGCACACCAATACAATCTCGGGCTGCCTCTTTTCAAGGAAAAGCTCCGGGACAATGCTTTTCAAACTATCAGTGGTAATGAACTATTGTTTTTTTAATTTCAAATCGGTCACTGACCGCTTTTGTAAAACGCTAATTCCCATGCTTGGATGTGATGTGCAGATATGTCAAATGGCTATAAAAGTCTTTTGGTGCTTCTTCTCATTTCCTATACTTATTTCTCTGCTGACCAGGACCACACGATTTGCCAACAGCCCCGGGCCAGGGACCTCACTCTAAGGGGTGTATCTGGGGAGACTCTGTGACTAAGGAGCAGAGTCCCAAAGCTGACATTTTAGCACAGCAAATCCAGGCACATCCTGTAATTTGAGTTTGCACAAAGGACTGTAGGCCAATATCAGTCATTTCAGCCCTTCTTGGGCACATACACAGAATCCACCCTCACTGGAGCCATGACTCAAAAGACAGAATAGCCACATAGACTTGCACCCAGAGATTTAAGACCCAAGACCGTAGGACATAGAACGGCCTGTGCAGACAGCCTAGTGGATGCCAGGAGTGTCACTGTCCTCCTCTGCCTGGGCAGGAGCATGGCTCAGGAGAGTAAGCATTATGTTTCTTCTTTAGCTTAAAAATTATCCTACCCCCTGTTTTCTCATGCTTATGACATGAAGCCGTGCAGGATGGAAAGATGGCTCCTGAGGGTTGGAAGGTCACAGTTGCTTTCTCATCACATCACACTTGAAGCAGGGGCATCCTGGGATCCAGGACTGGTTAGGATCCAGGAGCCAAAGGATAGGAGACCTTTGGCCTTTTGCCTGTTCTTCACTCCGGGGCCCTGAGACTGCAGAGGAGAGGCAGTGGGGAGACTGTGTGGGGCACATTCTGAAGGCTCCAAAGGCATTTGTTTCAATGGCATGTTAACAATCCGGTACCACCACCAACTTCATTTCTAGAACCTGCCTCTCCCCCTGCCCCCACTTCTGGGAAAGCCAAGAATCTGGGCAGTGAGGTGACAATTTTAAGAAAAAAAAGAAAATGCAACATCAGCTATGAATATCTAAAAAATCAAAATCCAAGGTGAGCAAGTGTAATAGATACTGCTTATATAAGGCCACAAGCCTCTCAAAGATGTCTGGATTAAATACATGTACAAATATTGTACCTGAATGTGTCTGGAATGATCTCCAAATTGTTTCAGTCTTTCTCCCTACACCCTCCAAAATTTTCCACATAGTTAGAGGAGAACTAAAGTCACATTCCTGTCATCTCGATACTGCAGTGTGGACTCTGTGTGTGTTTCAGGACAAGGGCTCCAGCCTGGACCCTCAGCAGCACTTTAACGCACTTGACGCAGGCACCTTGGGCCTTAACACCAGTCATTCACCATCAGTGTCCTCCAGAAGCTCCCACAAATCCTCACACACGGCCATGTCAGAACCCGCCTGTGAGTGTGCTGCCACAGATGGTGAGGGGGTGGGCGCCCATGTGGGGCCAGGGTGGTGGGAGTATAGAGTCCCACAAAGGGTCCCAGGCCTGAGCAGAATCAGGGCAGTCTCTGCCTGCCAAGTGGAAGCCGCCTTCCGGTTCACACTGTTTCTTGCTTCCTTTCCCTCCGGCTTTCTTCCCTCCACCTCTCCACACTCCAGAACAGACATAAAGCAGGTGACACGCAGGCCGGATAGTCTGGCCAGGTTTTGGTGACCCTGGTAAGATGTAGGATCAGGCAGGTGGTTGAACCAGGTGGTGGACATGAAGCTCGGGAATGCTTTGCTCCCAGTGGGGGTCGGGTGCTGGCAGAACCCGAAGCTGTGGCTCTTGCAACAGCTTCCATTCATGCTGGACTTTTTTTTTATCAGACATTCCACCCAAGCCCTTGTTTCAGGCATACTACAGTCGTTGCTCCCCTCTTTTGATAAGAAAGTTGTTAAGGATGCATGAATCAGGAAGGTGATCGGTTGCTTTCTTACAGCTGCCCCAAGCAAGCTGATGGCAGAGGCCAGCACCACGGCTTTGCCGAGACCAGCCACCCTGCCCCAAGAGCTCCCCGTGCCAGGGCTCAGCCAGGCAGCCACAATGCCGGTATGTATGTGACCTTAAACTCCTTCTCGACCAGAAGTGCCACAGTGTGGCAGGGCTGACAACACCATAGGACAGCATTACTGCATCTTCCCAGAGAAGCAGTTGTACTTGGAGATTAAGAGTATGGCATGGCAGACAGGGGTGGGAAGCTAGGTAATTGAATTGGCAAGTAATCTGAAACATTTTTATTCCAAAATTAACATGGATGTGTATTCAAGGAATGCAAAATGCAAATGAATTTTAAAGATTAAGCTGAAAAACCTCAAACTGGGGGTCACATCCCCAGAGTCTCTGAGGGTACACAGGATCCTTCCATCTGAGGTCCCGTTTCACTCCAGGGAAAATGTTCAAGAAGTCAGTGCCAACAAAAATCTATCTCTGCATACATCAGGCAGTGTCCCTGATACACACCAGACCTCCCCAGAAGGTCAGGGATTGAGTGGCCTTTTAGAAAGCACACTGGCTGTATGCAAAATCACTGATGCACACAATACTCCAGTTATCTCCTGCCTTGTAAGGGGTCACACCAAACTTAGCGACGTAAAGCAACAGTCATTTCTCACATTCGCGGGATTCAGGAAGGGCACAGCAGGGCTGACTCCTCTCTGCTGCCTCGTGTCAGAGGCCTCACCGACTGGACCTGGGGAATCCACACCCCAGGGGTGTCTGCGCTCATGTCTGGTACGTGGGGTGGGCCGGGCTACCCTGAGACCATCCACCCTCCACTTGCCTGGGCCCCTTCTTGCCTGGGCCCAACTTGCCTTAGGCTTCTCCCAGCATGGCAACTGGGTTCCAAGAAGAAATATCTGGAGATGGAGCTTTCTGTGAGAGCCAGGCAGAAGCTACATGGCTTTCTGTGACCTAGCCTTGGAAGTCCCACAGTGTCACCTCTGACATCCTTCTTGATCAGAGCAGCCCCAGCTCACCCACAGAGATCGACATAGACTCCACCTCAGGATGGGAGAAGTGTCCAAGAATGTCAGGGGCCACATCCAGGTAGTTGCCAGAAACCCCCTACCCAACCCTCGCTGACATTTTGGAGATGGGAGTGAACGTGCCAGCTTCCTGCTTGCGGTCTCCAGGAAAATCATGCAGGCCCTCCTTGAAAAGCTGGAGTGACGTGTTTTATTTTCAAATCGCACAAGACAAAGACCACTTTCTTTTTCTCCAGCCACCTTCCAAAAATGCTTCCAAGCCATGAATGCCATTCTTCCGATACTTGGCAGTCCAGTAGAACTACTTTCTGCCACTGATGGGGGTGCAGTTCTGGTTCCTCTCCACTGTGTGAGGGATGCGATCCGAGGAGAACCCCAGGCAGCCCTGTGCTGGGGATTCCTCACTCAAAACAAGGTCTCCTGTGGTCACTTCCTCCCAATGCGTGACACTTCCCATTTGGGCTTCTCTTTATGGTCTCTAGGGCCTGAGGGACAGTTTGGGAGTAACTTCAGGAGAATCCTTTTACTTTTCTTTTAAAAACTCTCAATAGCCCACAAAGCTGAGGATTTCATTTCTTGTTTCTACACATTGCTACGTATTGCCCCCACTGTCCTCCTGCCCTGCCCCGAGGGATCAGGAAACAAGGTCTGTGACTCAGCTGACTGCCCAGGAGTCTCTTGAACAGATTCCAGGCAGAGCCTGGTGAAATTGCACCAGTATTCACTGCCTGGATGAATGAATGGATATAGAAACACATGGCACATCTGTCCGCTGCATTCATGTTGAGCAGGAAGGATAAGGGCCACATGCAAAGCCAGCGCTGGTTATTAGCACAACCCCATTCATATTGCTCGATGACACTGCTAAGAATTTATCAATTTGGGAGAAGAAGCAACCAAATCCAGCAAGAATGGAGTCTAGAACAGAGGCAAGGAAGGGGGAGCGAGAGGAGCTGCCAAGCTCTGGCACGTCATAGCGGCTTTGCAGGGCACACCATGGTGGGAAGGCATCCCAGACCCTGAGTGACTCCAGGATCTTGCTCAAGGGCACCCTGCACCCTCCATCAGCCATGTGTCGGCTCTGACTCTGTGTCTTGCAAGGGCGGCAGCACAGCCTACCTTCTACATGTAAGCTCTTCACTCCAGTGCAGAAGGGCCTCCTCTAGGCCAGAGAACCCAGCTGAGAGCGAGAGCATCCATGTGCCTCTGTAATGGCCCAGAAGTGGTGTTTGTTAACAAGGGCCCCCTCTCTTCCCCAGGCTCCCCTGCCTGCCCCGTCATCCTGTGACCTCACACAGCAGCTCCTGCCTCAGACCATTTTGCAGAACCCACCTGCCCCCATGACACAGGTGAGTCTGGGGCTCAGGGAAAGGGGAGCCTGGTGGTGGCGCTCCCCAGGACAGAATGCTTGCTATCCTCTTGGGCGTGTAGATGCATCGGTGCCAATGTATAGGTACCAAAGCAAGATCCCAAACCGGGGGATGTTTCTCCTGACGCGCAGGTGGGGCACCTCGAGCTATGAACTTTGTCCTCTCCCTGTCCCCTCTGGCCATCATCCTTTTCTTAATCTTTGTTCATCCCTCAGCCACTTCTCCATGTTCCTCTTACTTTTTATGACTCCAAATTGGTTATGTTATTTCAGGAAAAGTTTGAATTAGGCCAAATGTCATAGGAAGCTGTGAGTCCGGTACTATAAATACCACATTTGTTGGTTGTTTTGTTTTGTTTTAATTTTTTTTTCAACGTTTATTTATTTTTGGGACAGAGAGAGACAGAGCATGAATGGGGGAGGGGCAGAGAGAGAGGGAGACACAGAATCAGAAACAGGCTCCAGGCTCTGAGCCATCAACCCAGAGCCTGACGCGGGGCTCGAACTCACGGACCGCGAGATCGTGACCTGGCTGAAGTCGGACGCTTAACCGACTGTGCCACCCAGGCGCCCCTGTTTTGTTTTGTTTTGTTTTTTAAGGACCGTGGCTTTGCTGAGTAATTCCTTCCTTGTTTTAGCAACATTCAGTGAGTTACTATTTGGGTCAGTCCATGAGCCGGTGTGAGGGGCACAGCCCTAGCTTTTAGCACTCAGAGTTGAAGGGAGAGGTGGGCATACCAACAGACCAACCTCCATGGCAGGGTGTGTGTGTTTACACAACCGGTAAGAAAACAGCCTACCGAGGAGGTGACCCCTGAGCTGGGCCCGGCAGGATGTGCTCGAGGCCTGGCGAGAGGCTGAATGAAATAGTGGTCATTCATTCTGTGGCCGCGTAGGGCCTTTGAGCTGATTAGCATACACTGCACTGAGGCCAGGCTCCACTTTCAGTTTCTTTATGGGATATCTAGCTTTGTGCCACTGTCTGGCTACAAGGGGATCCGAGGTCACAGTTCACTGACAAGTACTCCTGGCCGCACTCCTGCCAAAGTGTGGACTTCTCTCTTGGGGCAAATCCATCACCACCGATGAAAACTCTTTTACAACACATGTCCCATTAACAGCCGTCTCAGATGCTTTCCTGGAATCAGAAAGACACCTGCTAGCACATGCCCCTCGACAGAGTTAGGCTGGAAGGATGTCAAAGCTACTCATCCAGAGTCAACTAATTAAAATAGTCTGTGTTCATCCTCATTCGGAAAAAAAAAATTTTTTTCTCTTCGAATTTCCAAGGCACATTTGGTATGAAATTAGTAAGTTTTTCAATCCAAAGGCACATGAAATGAGAGTTCCTGTAACTTCTGGGTCTTGCATCCTAAAGGAATTTCTTTTTTATGCATAATGATGTGATTAAGGCCTTCTTCAAATTCTAATGTTTCATGTATTAAACGTCATTTTAATTAACAGAAACAGTTCTTAGTCTCTTAGGCATGTTATACTTAATAATAACCATATTCTTTAAGACATTCTTGCATAATGCTGACCTTTCAAGTCAGACAGTTCTTTGCATACCAGCTCCATGTAAAACAGTGCATTCTACAGTTTTCTCTCTTTCCATTCTCTGAAGCTATCTATCACTCTAGCACCCTATCGTGGAAAGGGGCGGGGAGAATAAAACCCAAAGTCTGACAAAGGGTTTTCTGGGTAACTAGCTGGTGGTTTGGCTTCAAGATGTGTTTCTAAAATGTCTCTAAGTTAGAATAAATGTCTTTCTCAAAGAGGCCATGATCAAGAATATAACAAGAGACTAATGCCTGGGTGTCTTGGAATCCCTTGAGAAAATCAGAATAATATTAGAAGTCACTATCACTTATGAAGCACAGTGCTGGCCCCTCCCTGACTGCCCTGCCCCCTCCTATTTCCCTTTGGAGCCAACTGGGCAACCCAGAGTGTCCTCTCCACTGGACATGCTAGGCGTAGCCCCCAATGTTTCCTGACTTTGTAGAACCCCTGGAAGCTTTTGTGTTGTGGGTGTGTGGGTGTGTGTGGTGTGTGTGTGTGTGTGTGTGTGTGTTTAATTTGCTACCTAGTAGAGGTCGCTTTCTTAACAGAATTCTCTTTCAAATTCCCAGCTGTGTGTTTTGATTACTTACATTCTGATGAAGATTTTTGTGATACAGTCTGGTTTAGCACAGAGAACTCATGTTTAGCAAGAGACTTTTTCTGTTAAATGAAATCTGAAGGCAAAGCTGCTCTGATTGAGGTGCATTTGGGAGGCGGGGGAGGTGTTGCTGGCAAAACCGCTCGGCCTCACCCAGCTCCTGAGACTCAGAATTCACATTTTGGCCCGGGCCACCAGCTAGCTGTGCGATCTCAAGCAAGCCACAACCTCTGCGTGACATGGGGGTATGATGTAAAGAATTAAACGACCGGCCAGTGTGGGTCTCCGCAAGTGGCAGCATATAGTGGGTTTTTTTAATCATTTTGCTGCTCCAAAAACTGCAGTCAGTTATTCAATCCTTCAGTGTATCCTGTGTTCTACAGTCTCCCCGGCCTCCTTGCTTTTCCATGTAAGAAAGGTCAAAGGGCAGAGGAAGAGTCTCTGGAGGTGTTTGCAAAAGACAATGGGCAAGAATCAGACTAGGGAGAATGTTGGGATAGAGATTGAGGGAATGGAGGTTAAGTCATTGTTTTTTTTAAAAAAAAAAAAAAAAAGGAGGAGGAAGGGAAGGAAAAGATAAGGAGAAAGGGAGAGGAAGGGAAGGAGGAGGAAGGGAGGGAGGAGGGGAGGGGAAGTCCCAGGCCAGCAAACACATGTTCCTCAAGAAACAGGAATTATTGAGTGCTCCAGAGAGCCCAGAGCAGGGTAGCCACCCCAGGAGTGCCAGCCTCCCTTGCCACGATCCCCTACTTTCCTCGTGTTTCCTTGCAAGGAAACACCCTATGTCAAGGTAGGACCTATGTCCCAGAGATCACCTGTAGAATCTTTCTAAAACCAACCTCCATCCCAGGAAAAGGAGTAAGAGGTGGAACGGAGGGGAAACTTGGAGCTTATGTGCAAAGCAGATATCAGTGTCCCTCCTATAAGGGCACTCTCTGCCAGTGTTACCCTCAGGATAAATGTCAGATGATTGTACTATTCTTTTCCTTAGTCTTTTGGTGCACAGATCTCTAAGTGCAGAGCAGCAAATGAACCTGGGGGAAGTGAGGGAGGGTGGTAAGGCCTCCCCATGGCCTCAGGCTGGTTTGGAGAGCAGGGCTCCCACAAATTGTAGCTATCAAGCTCATTTGTGAATTGTTACAGAAGAGCCCTGTATGCCAGGATCAGATTTAGGATAACGATAGGACCCCAGATTGCCTGTGAAGCTGTCACACGCTCTCTGATGCACTGCTTTTGACATTCATCCCCAAAACCATTTGTCTGTCTAACCAAATTTGGAATGTCAGTTTGTGAGCACTGCTCACAAAATTGTGTCCCAATTCTGTGGCCCTCCCAAGCTGCAGTGCAATACATTAGACCTGCAGGTTCTGGTAGGCCTGAGAAAAGCTCATGTGGGGACCACTGGGCCTCCCAGTGCTCATCCAAAGACCCTGTGCCCTGCCGAGCGCCCCAGCAGTGAGTCACTCAGGAGGGATACCAAAAAGGGTGGATAAGGGACCGGAAATGAAAGTGGGCAGGGCTGCTCAGAACAGCAGCAACATCTGTCTGCAAGGCTGAAATAACTCTTTCATCTGGTCTTGTGTTTTGACTCCACCTTCAAGTTCTCAGCACAGTTCAGCATGTTCCAGACCATCAAAGACCAGCTGGAGCAGCGGACACGGATCCTGCAAGCTAACATCCGGTGGCAGCAGGAGGAGCTCCACAAGATACAGGAGCAGCTCTGCCTGGTCCAGGACTCCAATATCCAGGTGAGGCCTCTTCCTGGGCCAGCATCCGCCACGGTCTCTGTCCTCCCTGCCTCCCTGCCATATTTATCCACTGTTTCGGGGTGGGCAGGACTCCCACCAAAGTGCCTCTGTACTGCCCTAATGAGTCCTGCTTACTAAGCATATTGCAACCTCCAATACCAAGTACAAGGAACAAATCCCCCCTCCTCCATCCCCAACTCCAGGCCAAACACGAATTTCACATGACACCCTCCCTGTTGACCCCTTGCTCTGTTGGGCACATAATGTCTGTATATCACCTGCATTTTCATTCATGAGTGGTGGTTGTTCGCCCTGCATTGATGCCTGCCTCCCTCCCTCCTGTGGGGGTGTAAACTCCTGGCACCTGTGTAACTGCTTTCATAGCACCGGGCGGCTACTGGCTACCCGTGGGGGAAACGGAGGCAGCTCTACTGTAGCCTCTCACCCAAAGGGGCCATGAAGGGAGATCTGGGAAATGATGAGATCTGCACCCTGCACAGAGGGGGGATGGGAGAGGGAGCTGGGGACTGGAGGTCAGCACCCTGGCGTCTCCAGGCCACCCCATTTGTGGCATGCCCATTGCGGCATGCTGCAGTTCTGACAACAGCAGCTTTCAACCATGACACTGCCCCCCACCCCCGCCAGATGTCGCTTCTTTAAATCCTTTGGAGAGATTGCTTTTGGAGTGAAAGCTGTATATATTAGATTTCTTACAAGGATAAGTGATTTTTACCAAGTTTTACTTGTATCAGGTGAAGACTATGTTTCTTCCCAAGTGCATTCTTTTGACCCAGCCTCTAATTGTGAACATAATTCTAGCTCACCTTGGAGTCTGCCTTGAGAGCTCTAAGCATTTGCACTCCTCCCCCCACGCCCCTTAGAAGAGGCGGAAGGAAGCAGGAGACACCCTTGGAGAAAATGGTTGGAACCCTGGCCCTGCCGCTTCCCGGTCACGGTCCACACAGACCCTTCCGGGGGGACCAACAGGTTCTATGCGAGCGCAGCGCCCTAACCCTGCGCGGTGAGATAACGCGTGAAGGATCGGCGATGCTGGGTAGCGGGAGACACCTGCTGCCGGCCTTCCTGCCTCCCTGGGCTCCTCAGAGGCGCTCCTGGCTTGCTTTCCAGAGCCTAACTGCCCCTGCCCCCACCCCCACCCGCACAGACTCTCAGCCTGGGCTCTCCCTTCCCCCTGCCCCACCACCCGGAGGACAGAGCCCAGCGGGACGCGCACTTCCCGCCCCGGGGGTCCGGGGGCGGAGAGCTCTGCCACACCCAAAGCCCTTTAGCTGCCCCGCCTCCTCTACCACTCCCCAAAACGGGCCCGGGAGAAGACCACAGTGTTTACAGGAAAAGAAATGCAGTCATGGAGGTGTCAAAGTCCCTTTTTGCTTATTCCTTCCCAGCTGTAATATTTTCTCACTGATCCAAGGCCCGATTGGCAGAACTTGCCTGACTCCAATTACTTGAATGGAATTTTTACACTAACAGGAAGGGGAAAATTGAGCCAGAAACTGCTAAAAGCAAGGTAGGCGTATGAACATCCTCCTCAGAGCCCGGGCCTTTCTATTTCCTGCCTTTTCCACATTCAAGCTGAATTCTAAAATAACAGGCGACGCAAGGTTATCTCTTTCACTCCTTGTTATGAAGAAGTCTTATTTTTCTTCCTCCTGACCAATGACTTTTGTTGCACCCCCCCCCCCCAAAGTATCCATACCAACAGAGCACCTGAGTTTTGTGAGGGTTGAGGTGGAAATCAGGCCCTGCAGTGTGTTCCTTCCCCGTTTTCATACTTGTGACCTTATCTTTGCAGTGGAATTTTCCAAAGAACATGGAAATCCACAGATTGTCCAACCAGAGAATATTTCCTCAAGCAGCCTGACTTCTTGTAGTTTTACAAGTTTACAGATTTAAAGAAATACATTCCAAAATGTACAACCAAAATGTGGTATTCCTTAAAAACAAAACCAAAAACCTGCGTGGTTCAAGCATAAAGAAAAAGCAAGTAAAAATTACTCCACCCCTTCCCTAAAAAGGTAAGAGTGGGGAAGAGAGATTAAATAAGAATAATTGATATTTGATAGAATATCAACTATTGATATATCAAACTATTGATGAAGAGTTGATCATTGTTGAAGCCTAAACATGATACATGGGGTTTCATTATACCTCTATTTTGTGTATTTCTAAGATGCTCTGTAATAATAAGTATTGTAAAAGGAAGCAGATTAGAATAATGAAAAACCACATGTGAGCATACGATTGGTTTATTCTTAAAAATTAGAAGCTTTTTTTTCTCTGATAGCTTTTTCTATTTGAATGAAGGAACTATTTTTCTCATACTTCCTATAAAGTTGACCCCCTGTGCCTTTTAAGAAGTCATCCTCCTAAACCATAAAATTCTTTTTTGTGGGTAAAACAGAGGCATGGATGTGCACAGTGAATTAGGATTGTCCCCTACAAAAGCCTTTACCAGAATGTCAGTGGACTTTCCTACTTTACTTCAGTGCCCCTGAGCTTTCATTGAGACTATGTGTGCATGTGATGCTTACTGAGTACAATTAAAACACACACAGTAACCCCCCCCCCCCCCCCCCCCCCCCCACACACACACACACACACACAACTGGGTTATGAGGGAAAGGTCCTCTGAAGTGTTTGTGTCTGCACCTAGATGGGAGCCATGAAGGATGCTACTTGGGGAGAGCTGTTCCCATGAAAGGTTGTGTCACCCCCTGCAGTCCAGAGAAGGATGCCTCTTGTTCTCTTTTTGAGAGTATGCACGCCCTCTGCTGGCTACTCAAAGAAATGCCAGGAAGGGCATCTGTAGCAATGGCAAACATGTTCCTTGATAGTTCTTTTCAATCACTCATCTATCTTTCTTTCCTTTCTTCCATCCACCCATTCATCCATCTATTCATCCATCATCCCTTCCTTCATTCCCTCCATCCACTTATGCATCCATCCATCATTCCTTCCATCCATCCACCCTCCATACACCTATCGATCCATCTATCCATCCATCTATCCTTCCATCTGGCAGACACCCATTATGTATCAAGCACTTGGTTAGGCACTGTGCAAAAACAGAGATACACAGGACAGGGTTTTTACCCTTAGAAGGCACACATCAGTGGGACAGAGTAGCAGACCCAGCAGTCTCTGACATAACACAAGCAGAAATAGTTTGCCCTTCTCTGAGCAAAAGCCTCATTTATTTGTTTATTCATTCATTTATTTATTCAATCACTCATTTTTCAGATAGTTTTTGAATGCCCAAAGAGGCAAAGGAACAAAAGTTCCTTTTTTCATTTTAAATACTGTTGTTACTATCTAACGTTGATTGAGCCCTTACTATGTCTAAGCATAAATTTTATTTAATCCTTTATGAGATATATGATGTTAATGTCACTGTTTTATTAATGAAGAAACTAAAGCTTTGGAAAGTCATGAAAACTGCCTAAGGTCATACCAGTAATACATGTTGGGGTTGGAATCTGAACCTAGGTATGTGATTTAAGCCACAATATACTGCCTGTCATAAATAAAGGTTGCATTTTTTTTGAAATCTAACCAGAAGGTAAATTGTTCCCTGCTGGAAAAATGTATGTTATGTAGTTTGAGTATTGTGTTTTTGCTAAAGTGATGAAGCGTAGGTCACCGTAAATGCTATAAGTAATAATCCCCAAACTGAATCTGAGATGATTGATACCCAGAAAATTCTTCTTAACTTCTTAAGTGACAAAGAGCTCTCATTGAAAACCTCTCTGGTGGGGTGGAGATGTGAGTGGAAAGCAGGGAGATCAGGTGGGGTGGTGGAAAGGGCACCAGATGGGAACCTGGTCCACTCAGCTCAGCCACCCACCTGCCTCAGGCCTCTGGGAGCCAGCTCAACCCCTGCCCATGAGGCGTAAACTTGAAATAACTACTCTGCTCCTGCTAGTATCTACTTGGCATGGTTCTACCTCTGCCTTTCCATAATCACTCTGTCACTCAGCAAATGTTGGCATGTCGATTCTGTACTGGGTTGAGGTTGTACTGACCTGAGTACAGGAATGGAGGATTAAAACTCCAGATGCTAGAAGGAAGAGGGACTTGCTCCTCAAGAACTCAAAGCTATAGCCCTTAAAGGGAGGGGAGCACTGCCTGTCAAGAATCCAGTATATTTGGGAGCACCTGGGTGGCTCAGTCAGTTGAGCATCTGACTCTTGGTTTCAGCTCAGGTCATGATCTCACAGTTCGTGGGTTCGAGCTCCGCATCGGGTTCTTGGTGATGGCGCAGAGCCTGCCTGGGGTTCTGTCTCCCTCTCTCTCTTCCCCTCCTCTGCTTGCTATCTCTCTTTCTCAAAAATAAATAAACATTTATAAGGAAAGAAAGAAAGAGAGAGAGAGAGAGAGAGAGAGAGAGAGAGAGAGAGAGACAGAAAGAAAGAAAGAAAAAGAAAGAAGGAAAGAAAGAATCCAATATATTCAATAATACCAGTTTTCAATGCCCACAAGGACCTTTGATTCAAAGAGCTGGTTACAGGTCTTAGGTTTAAATTATTATTAAAAGTATTAAAGTTGTTTTTCTTAAGGCTTTAGAGTCAATTTACAGATTATATTTTATTTACAAATCTAACTTGGTCTAAAAATAGCAATGCTTTTACTTGTTTTTATTTTTTCAGCTAGTTTATAAATGTAACAAATCATAAATAACCAACATTCTCTGCCAAAGCCATTAGTCTACAAGTTCAATATGTCTAAATCTTCCAAACGTTTCATGTGCTGAACAAGGCAGACCTGTCAACTTAGAAGTAAAATCTTTCTAAGCCCTTAAGCAATTCTTTTAAATCAAACACATCAAAAATGAAGTAGATCGAGGTTCTCATAAACACTTAAACATTCTACAAACTTATCAAATTCTCTTAAACCTTTCAAATTAAAACTTCCAGGCCAATGTACCACATTTGCCTCCCTGGGAATGCGGAGTCACCTAGCTAATGGGAGCGGATTGCTGGGTAAGATGCCCGACCGCAATGTGGGTACACACCCAGGCCAGTGGTCAGAGATGTAAGTCCTGGCACAGGACCTGGTCCTACTGCCAGGATGGTGCAGCCTTATGGCACAGGTTAGCCTACCCTCTGCCACCATTCATCCCATTAACAAGATATTTCTCTCTTCTAATAAGAAACTGGTAAGCCAGTGCAGTCTCTATGCAAGTACATCGAGTTATTTATAGACCATCTGGATCTAAGCATCTTTCACACTGATAGACCTCCATCGCTAGACCGTAGCCTTCTATAAGGCAAGGTCAGCATCCCTCCGATCCACTGCTCCACCTCCAGGACCCTTGCACTGTGCTTGTGGCATCACAGCACCCAATGTCCCCACGTTGAGTGAATGAATCCTTCCCAAGCAAGTCAGAGAGAGCAAGAAAGCCATGGATAGGGAATACAGAGAAGGTGCAGACACCTTGGTGTGTGGAGGCAGAGCCCTGAAAGTGGAGGCACATGTGATCCCAAACTTAAAGGTACACTGTTCTGCTTCCAGATGTTCCTGCAGCAGCCAGCTGTTTCCCTGAGCTTCAGCAGCGCAGCGCGGCCTGAGGCTCAGCAGCAACTCCAGCAGAGGTCAGCCCCAGCCTCCCAGCCCCAGCTTGTGGCCAGCCCTCAACTCCCAGGGCAGATTGCCTCTGCCCAGGTGGCAAACCAGCACCTGCTCAGAGAATCAAGTGTGATATCAACCCAGGTAAACGTGCTTGTCTTCATACTCAGTCCTTGCCACCGAAGCAGACCAGGGCATGCTTGATTCCTGCAGTATCCCGAACTAGAAACCTACTGAACCTTTCCTCTGTGACCAGGGCTAGAGTATGTTTTGGGGGGGGGGGGGCACGAGGAGGTTTTCCTTATTCTAAGTCATTCTGAAGCCCCAAGTTGTACTAGTTTCCTTCTGTGTTTTATTAATATATTAAAATACCTCAATGGTATCAGCATTGATCCTGACCTGGGTTGGAGGTAGATATGGATACCCAGACACTCACATTGACAGCCATATGTCCCCGTGTGTGTGTCCTCAGTCCTCTTCATCTAGTCTGGTTATAGCCATTATCAGTGTGAGAACACGGGTTATCCACTTCTGTTCATTGTCCCTTTCCCCTGGGCCACCGTGCTCCCCCTCCTTCCTCCAGATTCCCCACCAAGCCCTTCCCTCATTGTCATTACCACCTACTACAAGCCATCAATGACTTTGCAATCTGACAGTCAGCCAGCAATAAATGGCACTTAAATTGAATGAAATTGAGAGGACCTAAGCCCCTGCTTCTGGAAGATCAAAGATTGGAAGGCAAGATACAGTCTCTCCTCAAGTCTCATATTGGCACCTGTTCAGTAGATCTGCTGAGCTCCTCTTATTCACCATCTCCCAGGGGAACAGAGGTGAATAAGACTTATCTTGACTCCAAGGAGCTTCTAGTCCCATGGGGCCTCTGGGAATGTAAACAGATAACGTACAGATAAATGTACAATAAAATGTGGAAAAGTCCACATTTAATAGTTTGGCCCATCTTCACCCAGATTTGAGGGTTTTCCTTTAAAATGCAGCCTTCTGGTTCTAAAGGTCAACAGAAAAATTAATGAGAATAGCCAAGAAGAATTTGGAAAAGAAAAACTGAGGAAGGGCCTACACTATCCAATATTGAAAATTTTCAAAGATGCCTCAAGAGTTAAAACACTGTGGTGCCATCATATGAATGGACAGTCAGTCAAAACTGGAAAACCCGAAAAACAAAAAAGCAAATCCAAGCCCATTCCATCATTCATTTAAGATTTCAGTCAACAAGTATTTATTAAGTGCTCACTGTGTGCTAAGCACTGAGGGAAAGCAGTGAACAAAAAAGGAAACAGCATCTCTGACACAAGTCAGGAGAGAGATGCAAACGAGTAAAGATGACAGCATGTCAAATGGTTATGCAAGAACGCAGGTGAAGGCTGGGGGGTGTGGGCAAGAACACAGGTGAAGGTTGGGCACTGGGCTGGAGTTTTCAATAGGTAGCCTTTTCTTAGAGTAGAAAATATTCAATCAAAGAGACCTGATGGAATGAGAGAATGAACCATACCAGTATTAGGAGGAAGAGCGTTCTCCATGGGGGAATCAGCCAGTGCAAAGGCCTTGAGGCCTGATGAGTTAGAAACAGTAAGGAGGTCCATGTGTCTGGAGTAGAATTTGTGAAGCGTAAGGTAGTTCCATGCACAGTTTCCTTATTTGCTGAGTGCCCAACACTGTTCTAGGCCCAAGGGATTTAAAGAATCCCTGAGGTGTTTATAATCCAATGGGGAGGACAGTCCCAGGATCAAAATACTTCAAAAACTAGTGGGTCCTAGGGGTGCCTAGGGGGTTCAGTTGGTTAAGCATCCAACTCTTGATTTCAGCTCAGGTCATCATCTCATGGTTTCTGGGTTTGAGTCCTGCATTGGCTTCATGCTGACAGCATGGAGCCTGCTTGGGATATATTCTCTCTCTCTCTCTCTCTGTCTCTCTCTCTCTCTGTCTGTCTGTCTGTCTCTCTCTCTCAAAATATATAAACTTAAAACAAACAAACAAACAAAACCACAACAAAGAAAAGTAGTGGGTCCTAAGAGGAAGGGCCAGGGTAGGTAGAAGAAAGAGGTTCTGGGGAGGATTCCTGGAGAGATGACACCTGAGTTGAGTCTAAGTCTTACCTCTCTCATTAACATGATGGCTCCAGGGTCCACGGCCAATGAGAAGCTCACAGATGATGCAGGGAAGTGGCCACTCAGTGAGCAGCTTGACGCCCCAGTTCAGCAGCACCACGGCTGTGCTCCCACCAGCTCTGAGCCTGACCACGCTTGCTTCTGCCTCCCAGGATGGCAGCCAGTGCCAGCCCAGCCCAGACTTTGGTCATGATCGGCAGCTCAGGTACTGAGATCGCCCTCGTTTAAAAGATAGCTCAGGTGCAGCTTTACAGTAACCACTTCAGCCTCCCTTCTGCTGCCTCCCAGTCTCAGCTAACAAAGTGGCAAGAGAGGGCTGGGGTCTCGGATGGCTGCGCTCATCTTCCTCTGAGAGCAGAGTGGGCACAGTGGGTGTCAGGGGCAGCCAGACAGGGCCCAGCCAGGCTGGGCAGGTGCTGCCGTCAGCCAGCGGGTCTACAGTTTGGGTGCTGATTCAAGTTTCCCATTTATCTCCTCCTCTGCTCCAAGGCTATTGCTGAGCCAGCCCATCCAGCCCATGATGCCTGGGTCCTGTGATGCGAGGCAGCCCTCAGAGGTCAGCAGGACTGGACGGCAAGTCAAGTAGGTGGCCCCGGGTGGAGGGAGGAGGCAGAGAACTGCACTGAGTGGTCTCAGGCTGGCAGGGCTCTCATCGGCCTGGACCAGCAGCGCTCCTGTGCGTCTCACACGAAAGGCAAGGTCAAAGTGTGCCCACACCCTTTGCAAGGAGACCCCCTTAGCTCTTCTTCCATTTCCCATTGAAGAAGATCAAACTGTGTGTCAGCATTCCATGCTTAAAACAGGACCTGAACAAAACAATTAATTATATCCCCTGTCTGTCATCATCTTCAGATATCTTTATGGGTCCTTTGCCCTCAGTAACATCCCAGGTAAATGCAGCCTGATCCCCTTCCCCAGGGCGTTCCCATGGCTCCATCTGACCAGCAGATGCTGGCACATTCCACAGGCATACTTGGACACTTGGAGCTCTCCAGCTCTGTGGTTCTGGTGCTGAGCCACGGGACTGTGAAACCCTGCAGATGTGGGCTCTCCTTCCTTCCCAGACACGCAACCTTCTGTGTCTCCTTCCACAGACTCTTCACCACTTGCAGCCCCCACGTCCAGAAGCAGCTTTGTTCTACTATTGCATTAATTACCGGGGACAAAGGTCACTGGAGACCTAGGAATGGATACTCGGAAAGCTACTGGAAAACAGTTCCTAGCTCTTGACACGAGGCAGAACTATCTCACAGACGTCTTTTTTGCATAAACATTGGTTGAGTGTGTGTCTGAAGTTTACTAGGACAGGGCTAGCTAATTAGGCCTGGCCATCCTTAGAGCCATCCCCTAAGACCAGCTCCCAGAAGCCCTTCCTCCCATGTCCTCCTTCAGCCAGTTATAGTAGTAACAGTGGATGTTTTCTGAACATTTCTGAGAGGCAGGGGCTGGTACCTGTATTGTTTCATTTTATCCTGATAAAAACCCCGTGATGGAGAGAGATGGGGAATGTGCACTTCAGGAGCTGCCTTTCAATTCTCTGATGGTGCTCTCAATTAGACAAAACAAAGACTCTTGTTACATCGCGTTCCAGAGATGCTTAAAATGCAGTGAACTAGGCAAAAATGGGCATTCTTTCCTCCAGAACTCTGCCATTTTCCGTCAACCCAATGATTGCCACCCTCCCCATATCCTCTACCGTCTCTTCCAGATATGACCTAATGCTCCACCTTGTTACAAATGACCTCATAGAAAGAAATCACATTTCCAGAATATATAATACAAAATGAACTTCTCTGTGGTGTCTTTAAACACCTGTTCCTGGTCTGTGCTCCTCCAGAGCTTTCCCTAAATGGCCTTCTTCTGCCTCTTGTTCATGGACCATTATCATCAACACCTTTTCCTTTTCTAATTTTTTAAATTGTGGTAGAATATATATACAACATAAAATTCACCATTTTTACTATCTTTAAGTGGACAGTTCAGTGGCATTCACCATCACCACCATCCATCTCCAGAACTTCTTCATCTTCCCAAACTAAAACTCTGAACCCCATTACACATTAGCTCCCCACTCCCTGTACCCTCCATCCCTACTGGTCTACTTTCTGTCTCTTATGAATCTGAGTCCTCTAGGAATCTCATCTAAGTGGAGTCACACAGTATTTGTCCTTTCGCAACTGGCTTACTTCCTTTAGTATTACTTCATGTGCTCTGGATGTGTGAGAATTTACTTCCTTTTTGAAGCTGAATAATATTCCCTTATATTTATATACCACATTTTGCTTATCCATTCACCCATCGATGGCTACTAGGCTTGCTTCTACTCTTTGGCTATTGTGAATATTGTTGCTACAAACATGAGTGTACAAATATCTGCCTGAGTTCCGCCTTTCGTCTTCTCTTGGGTACATTTCCCGAAGTGACATTGCTGGATTGTGTGGTAATTCTAAGCTTGAGGAACTGCCGTCTTGTTCTCCAGAGTGGCTGCACCATTTTACATTTCTATCAGTGCACAAAGGTTGCAAATTCTCCATGTCCTCGTCATCACTTATTATTCTGGTGGGGTTTTTTTTTCCATAATAGCCATTATGATGGCTGTGAAGTGGTCTCTCATTTCGATTTTGATTTGTATTCCCTAATGACTAAGGATGTTAAGCATTTCTTCTTGTGCTGATTGGCTATCCTTTTGGTATCCTTTTTAAGAGCAATGTTGTTCAAGCCCTTTGCCTATATTTTTAGTCAGGCTGTTTTATTGTTGTTGAGTTGTAGGATTTTTTTTAATAACCTGGGCATCAGTCCTTCATTAGATATATGATTCGCAAATATTTTTCATTGGTGGCCTTCTCAATCCATGGATAACGTCCTTTGAGGCATCAAAGTTTTCAATTCTGATGAAGTCCAGTCTGAGTGTCCTTTTGTCGTTGCCTGTGCTGTTGGTGTCACATGAACACCTCTTTCTCAAAAGTCTGTTTTCTCCTTCCCACGTGTGACCCAACAGGTATCCGCAGAGCCAGGCCGTGTTTCAAAATGCAGACATGCACACCACCAGCAGCAGCACCTCGCCCCCCGTCCTGCTGATGGGACAGGCGGTGCCTCAGCCCAGCTTCCCCGCCGCCGCCTCCAGGCAGTCACCCCTGCAGCCCGCACAGGCCCCGCAGCAGGCACAGCACTTCCTGCAGGTGGGCACCGCCGCACTCATGCGTGAGGGCACAGGGCCCGGCTCCAAGGCAGAGGCCTGGCAGGCTTTCCCTCCCTTGCTTTCAGGGTGGTTCTAGTCCTCAGTTCCGAAATAAGCCCCACATAGATTTGCATTTGAATCTTTGCAGTCTATGAAGTTTATAATACTTAAAGTTTATAAAATCCGTGCATCTTTAGTATGAGAACTTAGACTCAGCCATTATGCCCCATAGATCCGTATTTTTATTATAGTGTCCATATTTTTTTTTTTTTTGCTCTACTTTTAAAGCAAAAATCAGACACTGACTACTGTGTTTGTCAGACTTGTTAGTGTGTTTATACACAAAGTCTGATACAAATATAAAATTAAACCATGTTTAAAGATACATCAAACTTGCCTGATAAATACAATAATGTGGCATGAATTTGGGGCTTTCCAGGGAAATGTGGGGCACATTTACATGTGGTCACCACTTACTTCAAGCAAGTGCCAAATCACTGGAGCCTGAGAGCCAGTAATTGGAGTTCAGATGGGACAGAAGTGTCTGATTGGGCTCTGGCCTTCCCTCTGACATATGCCCAGAGCACCTTCCTGCCCCAGCCCTGACCCTGTCCTGTGTACATCCTTCCTGGCCTCCAGCCCCCACCACAGGGCAGGGCATAGCTTTTCTGTCACTCTGCCTACCGTGCTTGGGCACCTTCAAAGCCACAGGAGAGTGTGGTGACTGAGACATTTTAAGGATAGAGGGATAAAGATGAAAGGAGTCACCCTTGAAGGTCTTGAATACAATTTAATTCCAAAGATGCTAAACCATTTGTGATATACCTTTCAAAGTTCTCTGACCTCAAGCATAGTGGGATCCAACTCTAGACTTCAGTGTGGCATGTCTTGTCATTTTGCAGGACACAGAAGCAATTTTTGGATGGGTTCAGGTGAAGTGAGAAGACAGGGATGGTCTGGGCAGAGTTAGAGGCCTCCTGTGTCTTTCTTCAGCCTTGGCAACACACATGTTCACAGACACCTGTAACTTCAAGATGTGGTGCTAAGAATACACAGAGCACTTGGGCCTGTTTGCTGCCCTCAGGGGCCTCAGGGTGCATTGTGGGGAGAGGGGATGTCACAGAGAGCTGTCAGATTCTGGGTTAGTGCCAGGTAAGAGCACTGTGCCTGGAGGCCTTCGTGGAGGAAGTACTCGAGGCC